CCTAAGGTGAAATATGGCATAGCAGGAAAATCTTTAAAGGATTGGAAAATGGACTATAGGAAAAAAAGGTAAAGATGCTATCAGAATATATACAATTCAAAATAATGGTAAAAAAATAGGATTTTTTTCCTTCTGGGGAAAATAAATGGAATTTTTTAAATAGATATATTTTTTCCTCTTTTTAACTCAATGTAAGAAAGCTGAAAATACACCAGTATTGCCATGAAAAGACCAAAAGGTGGTAACAAAAAATATGCTGACTCAACAGCTATGGCCCTAAGGAAGATGTCAGCTTCCATCCCATTTGGTTTAGGCAAGAATGAAGGACTCAATCAATAATGAGTAATTATGAGTACTCCAACAGAGAAATCACAGTACTAATGGCTGGAATATTCAGGTCAAACCACATATTCTCCTGGGATCTTGGTTTCCTCATATGGGTAAGGAGAGAGGGTCTCAATGAACCATGATGTTTCTTCAAGGACTAAATTGCTATTACAAGATCTTACTAGTAAAACTGAGAGTTCAATGCCTATACCATGGTAGTCATGACTATAATATGCACCACAGATAATTGCAGTTAAAATGATTTAGCATAAGAATCTTAATAATTCACCAAATTTTTATGAAACATCAGAGACACTTTGGAGTTTAGTTTTCTGTTGTTTTAGGTTTTATATTTTTTCTCTCTTTATTGAGCTACTGGTTTGTTGAGATAAAATTCTCTATTTATTTATTCAACATTGTTCCAAAAAAAGTATATTTTTTTTCAGAAAAGCAAGGGGTACTTTAAAGATTTACAGTTTAAAACATATCATTCACTTTCAAAGATTAATTTTAGAAAATAAACATACAAATTGAATTTAACTTATATTTTTTAATTAATATATTCCATTTTCAATTAGAATCATTAAATTTTTTTCTGGAATTATCGTTTAATGGAGGCTTTATATTCAAGATGTTTTCATTTTAATTACAATTTTTTTCTACATCATAAATGAGATGATTACAAAAGGAAAGTAATATTTTCATAAAACATCTTGGAAAATGAAATATTAATTACCAAATTATCATTATAATAATGATCACATCTCAAATCTATCTACTTAACCTCTATAAAATTAAGGTTCTCATATTTTTATGTTTTGATATTTATTTATGGTTTCTAAATAGAGAGGTGTTATAATTTTGTAGAAGAAATATTGACCTGTGTATTTTTTAAGACACAGTAAAGTAAAATTAAACAACATATAGTATGAACATGGGTTTTTTCCTGTTTAATGGATAGTTTAATAAAGTATTATAGTTGTTTCACTTTACTTCTTTTCCATTTATTTTTGAGAAACTGCCCAGAGTTACTTCAGAAAACCACATTGTTTTTCACATACCCTTATATAAGTAAGACTTACATAGAATATCCCTTTGTATCCTAAAACAAACAAAAATATTTGCTTTACCCTGTACTGGATTGCCAGTAGACAGATAATACATGTATTTAGAGCACAAGGAAAAAAGGAACATACACACACACACACATACATAAAAATAATTTAATATTCAATATATCAAAAATGGAAAAAAATAAACCTCTGTTTTCCTTTCTTACAGCTATGTTACTTTTCAATGTTGAATGTGTGAATGGTAGAGAGGAAAACGAGACAGAAATATTTTGTGTGTCACATTCCAAGAACCTGCTGACATTATTCTTAACCATCTTTTCTTTCTACCATTCTTGTGTTTTGTCTCATTCATTTTCTTCCTTTCTTGAAATATGAAAACTATAGTTTCATAAAATAAACTGTCAGAAAGAAAATCTATACATTATGCTTAGCTTAAGTGATTGAACACCATGTAAATGCAATAAGTATAGTTATAATCAACCAGAAGCAGCAGAAAGTGTTCTCAGTGATCTGTGGAGATGACTTGTATTTTTCACAGATAAAAGAAGGGAATATAATAGTGATTTTTCTACCTGACATCATGGTGTTTATAGAACTCGCAGGTGGTGATAATCCAATCCCAGTAATGTTCATGAAAGGGCAACTAGACAATCTCTGTTTATTTTTGTCTTATAAATTTGCATTTTGAAGTGATTATTGATACAGGAATGATAACTTCTGGTTCATGCATATATTTCCCTTACAAATCAGTGTGTTTTTTTCTCCAAAATTGTAACAATTTACTTAGTAATGATGTTTTACAAAATTGGTCTCCCCCTGATCCAAGGGGTACTAATATTTAAGAGACTAAAATTTATTATTTAGATAGATTTAGTTAAAACAAAAAAGACATACAGATGATATTCAAGTACCTACTAAAAAATTCAGTAGGGTCCTTGGCAGCAGGGAGCACACAAATAAATATTAAACATCTGAGAAGGCCAAACACTGGGCATAGCTTTCGTCATGTAATCTTTGCAACAACCCTCTGAAATTATTATTATGGTCCATATTTTACACCTAAGGAAACTGTGGCTCAATAATAAGTTCCCCAAAACAGTAAGGTGCACAAACAGTAAGTGATAAATCAAGAATTTACTTCAGATTTCTCTAGCTCTAAAATTTGAATTTGTTCACCAATACTACTGTTTTTCCACTATTCAAATTTGAACCACTAAAGTTTCAAAAAAAAAAAAAAAAAAGAGTGAGGGAGAGAGAAACAGCAATATAGGATAGCCAAACTCTCCCTTGCAAAATGTGGACGTTAAAAATCAAATGAGCCTTTTTTTTCCTCTTCTTATGCTGAAAAATTATCGAAATGAAACAGAGACTAAAACAAACTTTATTTTCTGCCAAAGAAAGAGATAAATATCTCATATAATCTGCAGATTCCAAATTAAATAGAATTGCTGACATTCAGTAGAAAGTGAAAAGAAGAATGAAAAGATATTAGAGGATCAAATATCAATAAAACTCAGAAAATGCCAGCAAAAGTTTATTTCCTGTAGATGAGAGACTCAGTATGAATTAGAAAAGCTACATTGCCTACTTCCAACAGACATAGGAACTGGGGTTAGCAGTACTGTTGACAAAGGCCTTTCTCTATACTTAGTTCAGAGGAACAAAAACTGGGGCTGCATAAAAATCACATAGTTCAGCCGGAGCCATATGGCCATATTTGTCATTGGAAAATGTCCTCTCTTTCAATTTACCAGTTTCCAATAAAATAAACTAGAGTTCCTTAAAAAAGTGGTTGATTCCAGGGCTGGATCACAGAATATATTAAAGATGAGGTTGAGAGCCAGGAGCTTCTCATGATGCCAGAAAGTGAGAAATGGTAAAAAATGGGAAATATTTGAAAGGCACAGGAATGAGTGTAAAAGAGCCCTAGGTGGCCAAAGTTGGAACAACTTAAACAAAAAAGTAAACCACAATAGTTGTTTTATAATCCAAATAATAATATAATTAATATGAGTCTATACTGATATAAATAAATAAATTAACAAATAAATAGAGAAGTAATGTTTCTTCATCACAGAAGATTAATAAATACAGAAAGACTGTTAAGAGAGTAGATCTAATTGTCCTTACCACAAACAAACAAAAACAAGATCAAACAAGAAAATGTGGAGAGGTTTTGGATGTGCTTATTATCTTGCTTGTGGTGATGGTATCACATGTGTATTTATCTATCTATCTATCTATCTATCTATCTATCTATCTATCTATCTATATGTCCAAACTCATCAAATTGTGTACATTAAATATGTGTAGTTCTTTGCATATCAATTATTAATATACCTCAATGAAGCTCTTAAGAAATAAAAAAGACACAAATATTTAAAAATTAGGAAAAGTAAGGAAGGAAAAGGGAAAAGAAGGAAAAAAGAAATAAAAAAAAGGAGAAATAGAAAATCACCATGAAAACACTACAGTAATAAGTGCCACAGGCAAGCTTCACTAATAGATACTAGAATTAGTGGGTAAAATTTAAGCAGAAATAGGAAATCTGCATAATCTTGGTTATCTTACCCCAAATATTTAGTAATTACAAAGGAAAAAGTAGTAACTCTATGATAGAGAATCTCAGAAGTCACCACTTTAGCCAAATGATCGATGTTAATTAACATTGCCAGTAGCACATACTGACGAAACTTATCCTCTGATACGGTGCACTGAGAAAGGCACATGATCACATCTCTTCCTTGCCATCCTTTCCAAAAATGTGTACTCTTAATTTAATCATTAGAAGACATTAGACAAACCCAAATTGAGGGACAGTTTATAAAATAACTGGCCAGTGTTCTTTGAAAATGCCAAGGTCATGAAAGACAAGGAAAGACAGAGGAAATGTTATAGATGGGAGAAAACTAAAGAGATACAAAAACTGAATGTGATGTGGAATTCTGTGTAGAATCCTGGAAAAGGACATTAATGCAAAAATTTGTTAAATCTGAGTAAATTCTGTGCTTCAGTTATTAGCATTTGATCAAGGTTAATTTCCTAGTTTTGATAAATTTTCTGTGGTTATATAACATGTTAACATAGGTACAAGCTGAATGACAGGTATATTGGAACTCTCTGTACTATATTTGCAAGTTTTCTGTAAGCCTAAAATTTTCTTTAAAAAATCTTAAAATTTAAAGTAAAATGAAATAAACATATTTATTATTCAGTTGGTGGCACAATCATATGCATGGGAACTAATACACATGAATTCAAAATGCTAGTTGAATGTATTTAAAGACAACAACAAAATAATGGCTTTAGTAATCATATTGTTGGCAGCAACATTATAGTTGCCATTCTGAGAATGCTGCATAGTTTACATGGGATAAAGCAAATGAGAAATTATTTGATATTCTAATCAACTCCAGTGTTCTTGACAGCTAGACTTATCAGCATGGGAGAACAGAGAAAAGAGGAAGAAGTTAAATACATATCCCTGTAGCTCTGAATTTGAGTTCAAAGTGTAAGTGTGAACTCATGAGTATTTTACCATATAATTTTTTTCAGATCTAGATCTGCTAAAATCTTTAGAGACAATGACTAACCCAGCAGTAAAGAGCACTCTTAGAATATAGATTGGGGTCTTCAACTACTATTTCCCACTAAAAGGCATCGGAGATCCTTGAAGAAATGGATGATTCCATGTCTAGCACAGGAAGTGTCTAAGATATACTTAAAATAGATAGGCATGCCAGATAGCAAGATGGGGCAATGTGCATACCAATGAGAATAATAACCTCAATGTTTTGTAGCAGAGTAACAGAAATTTTATGGTAGTGTATCTCCAGCAGGATGTCTCGCTATGAATGGCTTTCCATAGTACGTTATAGGGTCGATTTCCAGCAAGTTCTACCAGCTGAGAACCACAGTGACTTCTATGCCATCTAGTGAGCCGGTGACCTCCAATAAGGTAAGGATCTCAGTCTGGGGTCTCTTCCTCAGCCTGAGGGGTAATAGCTGGTACTTAAATTTACTGCCACTATATTCTGTAAAGTTCTGTTTACTTCTTACTATCCAGTCTCTCATAATTCTAATGTGCTATTATAATTAATATATTTTATATTAATATTTTCCTGTTCAAATTACTATGTGGTTTCTGTTTCCTGATTAGGCCCTAGGAAGAAGTTAATGGTAGTCATGAGTAGAAAACTATTGGGACTGGGTGATAGCTACACATGGCTTTATTATACTCTTCTACTTTTGTGTATGTTCAAAATTCTCCATAATAGAAAGATAGCTAAAAGCAGCTTTTAATTATTTTCTGTAATGAACCATATGACTATTTAGACTGAGTCATAGAAAAAAGGACTGTAAAGAGTTCTACCACCAAGTGAGTTAGTATCAAATTTACTAAATAAATAAATAAAGTTTAGTTTTTAGACCTTTTATACATCAGAATTATAGATAAGGTATGGCAAACCTAACTATATATACATAGCAATTGAATTATTCAGAGCCCCAGGAAGAAACAAACTGCAAACTCAAATCAGGGCCATTGAAAGAAAGCATAAAACAGAGAATATTTAGGAAGGGACAAGAACCTGTAGATATTAACAGCAGAGCAAGTTCATCTCAAGGGCCTATACATATGACTGTGAGGAGCTGTAATCAGAAATAGCTGTAGTGAAGGCTACCTTGAAAGATCAAAGAGCACAACAGTCTGAGGTGGGGTCTCCTGTGGGGTACAGGAGGTCCCTGACTTCGCTTCCCTCCCTCCTTCAGGTCTCCTGTTGAACCTAACTGGAAATCAGGTGGCAAGGACCCTGTTGATACAGTCTCTACAGGTCTTCCTCTCAGGCAGACATCAGAGTGGAACAGGGTGGAGGGTACATCTGGAGAATCAAAGAGAAACTATGACAGAGGTACAGGGGTAAGTACTCAAAAAATATTACAATAAATAATATTGGGTTATCAAGGAAAGGGTGAGGAGAAAAAATAAGAAACACTAAATATGTTGTTATGCATAGTAGCAAGCTAATAAATTAGCATCCAATGTAGTAGAAGATGAGAGTATTACATAAATTTATTGAAAAAACCACTAAAACAAAAACACAATCTTTTTCCAATATGTGAAAAAATATATACCCTTAAGCAAGAAAAAATATTGCCAGATAACCTTTGACAAATGTTGTAGTCACCTAGACACCTACTAGCAATACATGAGGACCTATTTTTCCCAGCTATGAAAAAGTATGCTATAGAATTTGGATTTTATATACAAGTATGCTATAAAACTTTGGTTTTTCTAAACTAATATGTAAAAAATAATATCCTAATGTAGCCTAGTCCATTTGCTCCTCACAAATTTAAGATGCAAGCTATATCACATACAAAAATTCTGTATGTACTTGAATCTATTTGTGTACTTTCTATTCCATTTCATTTGTCTGTCTGTTCCTTTGTAAGCATCATCTTGTTATAGTTATACAGAACTTTTAATATTTTAATATGTTTTCATATATGACAGACTTATTTTCCTAGACTGTTTACATTTTGGAAAACTTTCCAAACTATTACATTTTGTTTATTTTTTATATGAACTTTAGCTTGTCTAGATAAAAAAGAAGCCTGTTTGAGTTTTTATTTACAGAAGATTAAGTTAAAAAATAACTTAGAGAAAAATGACATCTGATGATGGTTATGTCTTCAGAATTTTGTTACAAATGTGTAAAACTTTTTTAAATTCCCACTCCTGGGAATTTAACCTGCAAATATGGTGCACATGTATGAAATACCTTAAGTACAAGACTATGCATTGTGACATTGCTTGTTACAGCATGCCAAAACCACCATAAACAAAGCTAAAAAGCATATGATACCATGGGAAAAATATTGACAACTCTCGGTATAGACAAAAGGTTAAACTCTCTAATATGTAGTGATCTTTCTATAAATTGCCAAGAAAAATCTCAATACCCCAATAGAAAAATGGGTAAAAGATGTGAAGCACCAGCAACCCTTGCACCCCAATTGTATTAGTCAAGGTTTTTCCAGTGAAACAGACCAATAAAATATATACAGATATACAAGGAGGGAGGTATTATGAAAATTGGCTAGTGCAATTATCGAGGCTGAGAAACTACACTCTATGTTATTTGTAAGCTGAAGAACCAGGAGAGCATGTGATGCAATTCAGTCTGAGTCTGAAAGTCTGAGAACAAGAGGAGCTGATGATATAACTCTCAATTTGAGATCAAAGGCCTGAGAACCTGGGGACTACTAGTATAAGTCCTAGAGTCTGAAGGCCTGAGGACCTGGAGTTCTGATGTCTGAGGACAGAAGAAGATGGATGTTTTAGCTCCAGAAGAGGAAATAAATTCACCTTTCCTCTGTCTTTTTGTTTTACTTGGTCTCACAATGAATTGGATGATGCCCCCACACACTAGTAAGGACAGATCTTCACTTAGCTGACTGGTTCAGATACTAATCTCTTTCAAACACCCTCACAGACATACTGAGAAATAATATAACTTTCTGTGTATCACTTAACCCAGTCAAATTAAAACCAAAAATTAACCAGCATACCAACCAAAAGTAAAAAAATACAAATAGTCCTTAAACAAATGAACACTTGCTTAAACTGACTCATAATAAAATAAATGCTAATTAAAACTACAATATATGAGATTATGAGAAAGTTTGACATTAAACTTTATTGGTGAGGCTGTGGGGAAACGGTCACTCACAGACATTACTGGTAGTAGTACAAACTGGTATAAACTCAGTGGAGGGAAATGTTAAAATATGTAACAAAATTATGAATAAAATACTGCTTGATTTAATGATCTCATTTCTGGGGATGTATCAAACAGATACATGTAGCACAAATATTATATATATGTGTGTGTGTGTGTGTGTGTGTGTGTGTGTATACACACAAATACATATACACACACAATAGCAATAAATTAGAAATAGCCCAAGTAGGCCATTACTTAATTAAAGTATTGTACTTTTCCATAATGCCATATTATGAAGCTCTAAGAAGAAATGTAGAATCTCTCTATAAACTATATTAAGTTTTTCATGATATATTACTAAAGCCAAAAGGTGGCTATGTATGATAATTGCTCCAATGAATATGGAATACTTAGCTCCAGATCTAACAAAACATGTACAAGATTCATATATGATAAATTACAAAATGCTAGTGATAAGGACAAAAGAAAATCTAAATAAATTTAGAAGAATGTCATGTTCATAGATTGAGAGATTCAATTTAATAAAGAGGTAATCTTCCCCAAAGTAATTCCTAGATTTAATGCAATTTCTTTCAAAATCCCAAGTTTTTTTGTAGACATGAACAAACTTACTCTAATAGCTAAAACTATTTGATAAAGAAAAGTAAAATGAAAAGAATCACTCTACTCAATGTTAAGGCTTAATATGAAGCTATAGTATATTAAGACAGTGTGATACTGGTAGAGTGGTTGACATAAATATCAATAGAACAGAATAGAGGACAAAAAATCATGCTGTAGAAGCATATTCAACTGATTTCTTATAAAGGCATACAAGTGATTCAATAAAAGAAGGATATATAGCCTTTTTGACAAATGTTTGAGTATTTGGACTTTCATAGACCAAAAAAAAAACTGAACCCTGACCTAAACTCACACCCTAGGCAAAAATTAACTTAAATTAGGCCATGAACTTAAATATAAAACACAAAACCATTAAAAAATTAGAATAAATAATCTGAAGAAAATATACAAAACCTAGAAATAGAAGAGTTTTTAAACATTACACCAAAGACACTATCCATGAAAGAAATATTATAAAATGGGCCTAATCAAAATCAAAAACTTTTACTATGTGAAAGTCCATATGAAGAGGATAAAAAGACCAGCTACAAACAGGGTGAAAATATTTGCAAACCATATATCAGACAAATGTCTTATATCTATAGAATTAATAGCAATAAATTAGAAATATTAAATTCAGCATTAAAAATTTCTAATTATTAAATGGGCAAAAGATATAAACAGATAGTTCACCAGAGATGACATACAAATAGAAAATAAGCACATGCTTGCATCACTAGTCATTTGATAATTTCAGATTCAAAGCACAATTAGATATCACTGCACACCTACAGAATAGCTAGAAGAAGGGCGGTATACAAATGCTGCCAGTATTTGCTGTAGTGGGAATGTAGAACAATACAACCACTCTGGAAATAGTGTTTGGCAATTTCCATTTGGGAAATGGTAATTTCTCATAAAACTGTCATATTCTGCTATCTAAATGCTAACCTTTACCATTGCGGAAATGGTAATTTCTCATAAAACTAAACATGCATGTATCATATGACCTGGCAACTGTATCCTTTGTACATAAATGTTCATATATTGCTATATTGTCATAGCCAAAATTTTAAAGTAACTCAACTGTCCTTCAATAGGTGAATGATTAAACAAACTGTGTTACATCTATACTATGGAATACTATGCAGTAATGAAAAAGATCTGTCGATACATGCAAACACTGGGTGAATTTCAAGGGGGTTTAATTACGCTGGGTGAAAAAGACAATCTCAAAAGGTTACATGCATTTTTATATATATATATATATATATATATATAAACTATATATAAAACTCTGAAAAAAGGTTAGATATTGAGAATATATTGGTGTTTTTAGATTTCACCAATTATACAATACATGTAAACTGGTAAAATCTGAATAAACTTTGTAGAATGTATCAATGTCAATTTCCTGGTTTTGATACTGTACTACAGTTATATAACATGTTACTTGCATGGAATGTGCAAAAGATACTCTCTATATATATCCTGTGTATTTGTAATTATCAAATAAAATATAATAAAAAGTATTGCACAATTGAATTATGCTATTGTTTGTGAGAAAAGAGGAGAAGGGAATATATCATACTTGTTTTTGTTATATTATTACAAAAGAACTCCAAACAGATACTAATAACAGTGGTTACCTGAATGTGATGGGTAGGGAACATAGTATATGGGAGATAGTTGTAAGAAGGACTATCTTTTATATATTTGAGTCACATTATCTATTTCTTATTCAAAAAATTAAGTTAATATATTATAGACATAAAATCATATTATGACTGTGTACTATTTCCACTACTCTTAAAAAAAAGATAATTTAACAGCAAAAATCTAAAATGACATACCTTTAGATTGAGGGTAGGCATTCACATTTATTTAGTGCTACTTTATGAAAAATTTAATTTATCATTGCTATTTATCTTATTTCCTATTGACTTAGGCAAACTTGACCACTGTTCAACACTGGTCTTGAAAATGACTCTCAGAAAACACAGAATTAGCTCACATCAATTTTACCCCAGTGCCAAAATGAATCTTTCACTTTTTGATTTGCAGTCCTGCAGTTTCAGCATATACTAAGTATTGTTCTCTTGGACTTTAGAAAGAGAAAACAAAAAGGGATCCTTAAAATAACCTCCACAAACTGGAATAGAATATGTCTTTCTGTGCTTTGTTGTTTCTTGGGAAATAGAATTGTGTGGTGCTATTTGTACATTTCCCATAAATGAAAACAAAGAACAATGAAAATGCAAATGCTAAAGCTAAAAAGAATTTTTGAAAATAGTCAAGAGGAAATGAGGGGCCTCAATAAAAAATGCTCAGGCAGTGTTTAACCAAAGTTTGTCAGTTCAGCACATAGAGGTTAAATGCCAGATACCCCCAGATACTAATGAAAATCAATAAATTCCAATGTGCCCAGTACTGCTATGATAGAACTATCTGCTTTTTATTTATTTGCTAGAGCAGATAAAAGTAAAAGTTGGTACCTTGGACCAATAAAATATTAGAGATACTATGAGGTTGTTCACATGCAAAACTGCCAAGTTTTGTTGACTTAAAGAGCCATTTCTCTATGTAGCTAAACTTAATCAGATGACATTGGATGAGAAAAAAGTGAAGGAATCACATTACCTGAATTCAAATTACACTACAGTGCTGTATCAATCAGAACAGCATGGCACTGGCATAAAAACAGTCACATAGATCAATGGAACAGAATAGAAAACCCAGAAATAAATCCACAAATCTATAGTAAACTTATCTTTGACAAAGTTACCAAGAACATACATTGAAGAAAAGCCAGTCTCTTCAATAAATGGTGCTGGAAAAACTGGATATCCATATGCAGAAGAATGAAACTAGATCTTTATCTCTTGTCATACACCAAAATCCAATCAAAATGGATTAAAGAGTGAAATGTAACACCTGAAACTATAAAACTACTACAATAAAACACTGGGGAAATGCTTCAGGACAATGGTCCTGACTTCTTGAGTAATATGGCAAGGACTCAATGGCAAGGACTTCTTGAGTAATGTCCCTAAAATATAGGCAACAAAAGCAAAATTCGACAAATGAGATCATATCAAGCTAAAAAGCTTCCACACACAGCAAAGGAAACAATAAACCAAGTGAAGAGACAACCCACAGAATGGAAGAAAATATTTGCAAACTACCCATCTGACAAGGGATTAATATCCAGAATATATAAGGAGCTATAACAACTAAAAAATAATAATCAAACAATCTGATTTAAAAATGGGCAAAGGATCTAAATAAACATTTCTCAAAAGAAGACATATAAATGCCCAAAAGGTATACAAAAAATGCTAAACATCATTAGTCATCAGAGAAATACAAATAAAAATTACAGTGAGGTATCATCTCACTCTAGTTAAAATGGCTTTTATCAAAAAGGCAATAAGGAATTCTGGCAAGGATTAGAGAAAGGGAAGCCTCATACACTGTTGGTGGAAATGTAAATTAGTACAACCAGTATGGAGAACAGTATGGAGGTTCCTAAAAAAACTATAAGAACTACCATATGACCCAGCAATCCTACTTTTAGGTATATATCCCAAAGAAGATTCAGTATATTGAAAATATATCTGCACTCCCATGTTTATTCCAGCACTATTCACAATAGCCAAGAAATCATCCTAGTGTCCACCAACAGGTGAATGAATATGGAAATTGTGGTAGATACACAACAGAATATTATATAGCCATAAAAAATAATGAACTCCTATTTGCAACAACATGGATGGAACTGGAGAAGATTATGTTAAGTGAAATAAGCCAAGCACAGAAAGAGAAACCTCACATATTCTCACTCATATGTGAAAGCTAAATATTAAAATAATTGATTTCATGGAGACAGAGAGTAGAATGATGATAACCAGAGGCTGGGAAGAGTTATTAGGGAAGGAGTGAATAAAGTGGAGATGGTTAAGGGATATAGAAGTATAGTTAGATAGATATAATGAACAATATTTGATAGCCCCACAAAGTGACTCTAATCAATGATAAGTTATGGAATACTTTAAAATAACTAAAAGAGTAGAATTGGAATTTTCCTAACATTAAAATAATGTTAAATCTCTGAGGTGAGGGATACCCCAATTATGCTGATTTGATTAATATACATTTATGCCTGTA